AAAATTCACCATAAATTGTACATAATGAATTAGAAGGATTTATTTATATGGATAGATTCATATTCGAGTCTAGTTTTCAACGGAAGAAACGTAATTGAATTCCAATGTGTATATCAATAAATAATATTGATTCTTTAAAGGTACAACAAATTGTCTCAATATGGAAATTTTAGAATTTAAGTGGAAAGAGATTAGAAGATGGAGAGTAATGTTTAAATGTTGAATATATTTTTGGATGCTTGGAATTGAGGTTAAATGGTAAGAGACCATTTTGAGTAAATTGGAAAAATTGGTTCCAATGTTAATAGGAATTATTAAGTATTGAGTATTTTGATAGAAAATGAGTTCAAGTGTATTATGGAGTTGTTATGAGATATGTTTATGTTAGTACAATACTAACATATGTATTATTATGAATTTGTGATTTATATAGATCAAGATTGATTTACGACTGAAGCAAGTCAAGTATAAAAGGGCTTATGATAAACAATAGTGAGACACATATTTTGGAAATTATAAAGTGTCAATGTGAGTGCATTTAATTATGTACATACATGTGGTAATAGTTAAAATAACATAATTTATAGATGTATGTATAGTGATTACCGAATGGCACTTTGTGTGCTAAAATGATATGTAAATCATAATGAGTGTATAGATTTCCAAATGGAGCATTGAGTGTGCTAAATGATAATGAAATCATATTGAAAATATGGATTTCCATATAGGGCATTTTATGTGCTAAAATGGTAAGGGAATCATACTGAGTGTATAGATTTCCATATGGAGCACTGAGTGTGCTAAATGATAAGGAAGTCATATTGAAAATATGGATTTCCATATAGGGCATTTTATGTGCTAAAATGGTAAGGGGATCATACTGAGGGTATATATTTCCATATGGAGCACGGAGTGTGCTAAATGATAAGGAAATCATATTGAAAATATGGATTTCCAGATAGGGGCATTTTATGTGCTAAAATGCTAAGGGAATCATAATGAGTGTATGGATTTCCAGCTAAAGCACTAAGGGTGCTACAAAGATAAGAAAATCATACTAATGATATGGATTTTCACATAGGGCATTTCATGTGCTAAAATGGTAACAAAATCATATTAATTATATGAATTTTTGAATAGGGCACTTCGTGTGCTAAAATGAAAGGGGAAGCATACTAAGTGTAGGATTTTCCATATAGAGCACTGAGAGTGCTAATATTAAAAGGGAATTACATGAATTGTATGAATTTCCTATAGAATGTATGGATTCCAATAATGATTGATAAATGAGGTTAATGGCAAGTATATTGGTAAAATAAGCTTACGAGCTTATGGAATAATGGCAAGTATATTGGTAAAATAAGCTTACGAGCTTATGGAATAATGGCAAGTATATTGGTAAAATAAGCTTACAAGCTTATGGAATAATGGCAAGTATATTGGTAAAATAAGCTTACGAGCTTATGGAATAAATGGTAAGTATGTTGGTAAAATAAACTTACGAGCTTATGGGATAAATCGTAAATTTATTGATAAGAAATATTACATTATTTTGATCATGGTAAAATATTGGATATGCAAATAACATGATTTTTTGGCATTTTGAATTTGACAGTGAGATTCATGCATGAATTGTATTGCACTGTTTATTGTTTTAATTGCATCACTAAGTTTATACCTAGTGTGTGATGATTTTCACGCGTAGGCAAAAAGCCAGTAGTGGAATAAAGAGTTCAAAGTGACATCAAGCATCGAGGAGTATATTTCAATATCATTAAGATATCCTATAATGGAATTTGACTTAGATAGTGGCATGTAATTAAAAATGTTCAATTTATTTTGTTGAACAAATTGGGAAACAAAATGGTAACCTTATAGTGAAGAAAGGTTAAGTTTTTATGAGTTTTATATATTCTTCGGAAATTACTGTAACAGTGCAACACATTTTAAGTTTGAAGTTTTTATGCATCGGTGCACTGTTCACGTCACTGTAGCAGTGTATTGATATATTATTCACTGTTCACAGTACTGTTCACTGTTCATATAAAATATTTTACCTTAAATTTGTTATAATGAAGCATAATTCATATGATATGATAATTTTGATAATATCATTTACCATTTTAAGAAAAGAAATTTTAAATCACTTTTGAAGAGGAAATGGTTTTCGAAATTCGGGTGACATCTATAATCTGTATAGGTATAATTATACGGGTTATGGGTGTCACAGAAAGAGTGCATTTTTCTGGGTTACAAGAAAGGTGTCAAAGGATTCAAGTTCTGGGATCCAATTGCGAAGAAAATTGTGATCAGTAGAGATGTTGTTTTTGATGAAAAACCCATGTTGCAGCAGAAGAAAAACATGACAGTGGTGGATTTCGAGCAGTTTCCAGTTGAGAAAACAAAAACTTCTCAATCGACTTCTGGTGGTTCCGCTACGGATGATTTACAGGATTATAGTCTTGCCAGAGACAAGGTGAGACGGACGAATATAAAGCCTCCGAACAGATTGGGTTTTGAAGACTTGGTCTCTTTTGCACTTACTGTTAGCAGTGATGATCCGATTACTTTTCATGATGCATTTACTAGTCAGGAAAACGACAAGTGGATGGCTACCATGGTTGAGGAGATAGAGTCTTTGAATCACAATCGTACATGGGAGTTAATTCGCCTTCCTGAGGGTAAGAAGTCGATTAGTAGCAGATGGGTGTATAAGAAGAAACCAGCAGTAACAGAAAAAGAGGGGGAGAAGTTCAAGGCTCGTTTGGTAGCAAAGGGTTTTTAACAGCAGAAAGAAGTTGATTATGATGAAATTTTCTCTCCTGTAGTCAGGCACACTTCAATCCGAGCAGTACTTACATTGATGGCTAGTTGGGATTTGCATTTAGAGCAGATGGATATTAAAACTGCTTTTTTTCATGGTGATTTAGAGGAGCAGATCTACATGCGGCAGCCTGAAGGTTTCACTCAACCTGGAAACGAGCATATAGTTTGCAGATTGAAGAAATCTTTGTATGGGTTGAAGCAGTCTTGACTCCTATATGATCAAGATTGGCTACAAACGATGTGAGAATAATTGTTGTGTCTATGTTAAGAGCCTTGATGATGGTTCTTTTATTTTTCTGTTACTGTATGTTGATGATATGTTAATTGCTGCGAAGAACATGAATGATGTTATCGGTTTGAAAACTTTATTGAGTCAGGAATTTGATATGAAAGATTTAGGTGCTGCAAAGAAAATTCTTGGAATGGAAATTTGTAGGGACAGAGACTCGAGGAAACTGTGGTTATCTCAACGGGGTTATGTTGAGAAAATGGTAGAAATGTTTGTGATGAGCAGCGTAAAACCAGTTAGCACTCCATTGGCGAATCACTTTAAGCTCTCATCAGAACATTGCCCTAAGACAGATAAGGAAGCTGAAGATATGGCAAAGGTTTCATATTCTAATGATGTTGGCTGCTTGATGTATGCAATGGTATGTACTCGTCCTGATTTAGCTCATGTTGTTAGTCAAGTTTGTAAGTACATGTCTAAACCTGGTAAGCAACAATGGGAAGCAGTCAAGTGGATCTTTCGGTACTTAAAGGGTACTGTGGGACATAGAATTGTTTTTGGTATTCAGCGAGATAATACTTTGGTTGTAGGATATGTGGATTCATACTATGTAGGTGACTTGGATAATAGAAGATCTACGACAGAGTATGTCTTTACTCTTGGTGGAGGGCCTATTTCTTGGAAGTCTATTGTTCAATCTGTTGTGGCAATATCTACAACTGAAGCTAAATACATGGAAGCGGCTGAAGCTGCAAAAGAAGCTTTATGGCTTACTGGTTTAGTGAAGGAGTTGAGTGTTCAGCAAGGTGGAGTTCAGTTGCTTTGTGACAATCAAAGTACTATTCACTTGGCTAAGAATCAGGTATATAGTGCTATAACTAAGCATATTGATGTGTGTTTTCACAAGATCAGAGAGTCGGTTGCATCTGGAGAGATTTTGTTTCAGAAGGTACATACTGATGAGAATGCCGCTGCTATGTTCACCAAGCCAGTTACGACAGACAAGTTCAGTCATTGCTTGGACTTGTTGAATGTTTCGAGTTGTTAAAGAAGTAAGGTAACCCAACCCACATTGAATGTTTCCTAAGGGGCAGGATATTCGCCAAAGTGGAGATTTGTAAGGTATGGCTCATAAATATATCGGTAAAGAGAATAGGTAAAAAGAAAGTCTCGTAGTGGGGGTTACGATTATGCGGGTTGGGGGTGAGAGGGCGCAGCCCCGCGGTACGATACATGGTTAATTTTGTAATTATGTATTAGAGTTTATTTATTATTGTAGACACTCATTTTCGTCAATTTTATTACATATACGTCTATATATTATATAGTTTTCAAATGGTTTTTGAATATATATATATATATAATATATAGTTTTGAAAACATGTTTGAAAACATTTATATATTATATAGTTTTTTTAAAAACATTTTGAAAATAAATATAATATATTGTTTTTTTTAAAACATTTTTGAATATATATATATATATATATATATATATATATTATACTTTTTTTAAAACATTTTGAAAAAATATATAATTTTTAAAAAACATTTTGAAAACATATATATTATATAGTTTTGAAATCATTTTGAAAACTTATATAATATATAGTTTTAAAAACATTTTTTTTAAACTATATAATTTTGAAAACACTTTTAAAAAAATTATAATATATATAATTTTAAAATACTTTTAAAAATATATATTATATAGATTTTTGAAAAATATTATATATATATATATATATATATATTATTTACTCTTTTTTTATTTTATTATTATTATTAATTTTATTTTTTATTTTCATTTTTTAGGGTCCAAATGGGGTTTAATCTGTCCAAGTCTAGGGTCTAATATTGGGCTTGATCTAGCCCGGTTAGGTTTAGGGCTTTTACAACCCTAACATCAGTCTTGTCACAACGCCGCATAGTAGGTTCCAGAAGCATGGAGCCAAGCAGTCAACGCCCAGCGCACATTCCGGCCGCACCAACGGGACTGAACCATCCTGAGGCGGCCGGTACCACGAACAGGAAGATCGGAACAAGCAACAACCCATATCCCGTTATTTTCGGGAGCCAAATAACCAACATCGGGGCTATAAAAAGCCCCCGGTAAGGCCAACGGAGAAAGGGGGAACCACACAGGAACGGTAAACCAAAGCCACACAGAGATATACACAAAATCCCATCACAGTAAACCAAAATACCAGCAACCAGACCACAACATCACCAAACAACGGCGAGAACAGAAAGCAGAATCATCGAAACAAAGCCACAAAAACACAGAGCAAAAATAACCAAACACAAACACACAAAAAAACAACATAAAGCCGAAGTATCAACCGAAAAACCACCGGAAGTCCAAAGGTTTGCCGGAGAGGGGTGAGAAACCGTAACTTTCAGACTAGATCTACTCTGATCTAGAGGTTTTTTCGTTGTTTTGAGGTCGGGTTTGGTATCGAGGAGGTTGGGAGAGTATTTGGTGATAGTTTAGCTTTTTCGACCACCGGCACGGTGGCGGCGACACGACGGATTGGCCACCGGGCGGTGGTTGGGTATCGTCTGGCTGGGAGCGTTTGAGAGAGTTGAGAGGGTGATATCTGAGGGAAATGGTGAGAATGAGTTGAGAGAAGATGTTTTTGGCTATTTATATAACAGGGACTATCTCACAATTAAGAGATAGTTTAATTCTCTCTGCAGTCCCCCAAGGTTTGAAGCGTAATTCGTTTCAGTCACTGTATATAATTTGGCCATTGGATTTTTAATTGATTCAATTCGGTCCCCATTTATATGTTACATTTTTTGCAATTTGATCCATAAATTCTTATTTTATTTTATTTATTATTATTATCATGCTTTTTAATTATTATTAGTATTTTTTCTCATATTGTTTTTATTTTTACTTTTAAAATATTTTTTTCTATTTAAAACTTCTTTATTATTTATTTATTTAATTTTTATTTTATTTAATTTAATTTTATTTCTTTGGTATAATTTTTATTATTATTATTATTTTCCTTTGGTTTATTTATTTTAGTACCATTATTTTATATATATATATATATATATATATTTATCTTTTCATTCTTATTTATTTATTCTTTCTATCTAACATTTTTTTGCCTTTTTCAGTAAAAATCTCAATTAATCAAAGGGTAAGCAATTCGAATCGAATTTTTAAATTTAAATTTAAATTCTCAAGTTTCGCAATTAAAGACAACCGAAAAATTAATTGGTACCGAAAGGGCGGTCCAAGGGTGCTAATCCTTCCTTGACCGTAATCGACTCCCGAACCCGACACATTTCTGGTACAACGCAGACCAGGTATGATGGTGTTCAACCCACCTAAATTCGTTTTAAAGTGGTCGGTGGCGACTCCTAATCCATTTTCCTAAGTCGAAGCCCAATTCCGGGGCCAAGCCGAAAGACGGTTCCGACAATTATAAATAGAGATGTAACCTAAACCTATGTGACATTGAATAAAACTTCTAGCGCCGCCTAGACACCGAGGACGTAAGCACATTGCTGAAGCTCGTTAAAATTCTCGTGTTCTTTCATTTTTCTATATCAGATTCTTCAACAGTAACGAGTCTTTGGCATCGAACGTCACGAGTCTTTGGCATCGAACGTCGATCTCCCTTCACCAAGATTTTCAGTTTCTCAATCGGCTGAAGCATTTAAAAAGAAAGGAATTGGTCTTGAAGATATAGTTTTACTCCTAGGTATATTTACTCTTTTCTTTTACTTCAACGTATACTTTAGTCATATATTAAAAGATCATAATATATATATATATATGTGCATGTAGGTGGCCACACAATAGGGTTTACACATTGCTCTTTCATTAAAGACTGGCTTTACAACTTCGGGGGCAGCGGGGAGGCAGATCCGACGATGGATCCGTCATTAGCTAAGCAGCTGAGATTAATCTGTCCGGAGAACTCAAAAGCCGACGCACCTGTGAGTCTTGACCAGAATCTCACCAGTACATTTGTTTTCGACAACTCCTTCTACAATCAAACAAAGAACCACAGAGGAATTCTTGCCATTGATCAAGCGTTAGCCTTGGACCCCTTGACCAGTAACATCGTCGCCAATTTAAGCACCGGCAATGACTTCCGTGCTAGGTTCGGACAGGCAATGGTTAATTTGGGAGCTGTAGTTCTTAATGATAAAAAATCGGAGATTAGGAAATCTTACCGCGCTGTTAAAAACAAACCCCGCTCCTCTTTCGGCCTTTTGGGTTGATTTTTTTTTTTACATAGATGTCCTTTTTGGTTTTCTTGGTCCTTGTTGTGTTTCAATGGTACGATTTTTTATATAAAAAACTCAAATAACATCACTGAATTCGATTTTTAATTAATTATATATTCTTTCCATGTCCATGTCTATCTGCAAATTCCTAACTTGATGCCACCCAAAATATATTATATAATTTTGCGTTTATCCTTAATTACATGTAATCCAATATATATATATATATATATATTATAACCACGTATCTAAATAATGGTTGTAGCAGGAAATTAGGGACGTTATGTGCAAAATGAATAAGAACATGGAGAAAAGGAAATTATCCAATCAGTTTCTTTCACCTTACAGCATCGCAAGAAAACATCAGTGACGGAGCCATATACACGAGAGAGGCCCATCCCCCACATTTTTTTGTATTATTCAACTTAAGTCCCTATATATTTGAATATAGTAAAATCGAGTCTTTACCCCCTTCATTTTTTTTGATTTATATACTTCTTAGACGCTTAATAATTTTTCCAATCAAAAACTAACTCCATCCCTACACACTAATATGTTTTATCTTCAAATTGTACTCTTGAATTTCTTTTGCTTAAACATGTTCTAAGCTCTTCAAAGCATTCAAAAGCTTGCCCCCCCCCAACCTTGGACTTATATAGTCATAATACATAAGAAGTGAGAAAGTCTTAGGTTGAATGCTAAATTTACTTGAGATAGGAATTCATCAAGTAATCTCAATGTTAAAAGAGGAATATTGTTCTCCTTAAAAGTTTTGAGTTCGAAGAGTTGCGTTTGTAGGGTATATGTTGTCAATATATTAAGAGAATTTTGAGCAAATACTATCTTGTAATCATCCTAAACTATTAAAAAAATTATGTGAGGTATAAATGGATAGCTACTAATTAAACTAAAATGAAACAAATTGATATAAAAACCGATATCAATATTTGCAAACAAATCCACGTTGTAGTAAGTTGATGATACGATTTCTTTAAAGATTCATGTCAAACGGTTTTGTAATGCAAATTTAATTCCTATGAGTTCAATATTAAACCTTTTGATATGTTAATGAAAGAAGACCCTAAAACCCAAAGTAACCCTACAATTTAAAGCCCCGTTGTGGGCCGAATCTAACACTATTATGCATGACCAAAACATGAGAGCCTGTTCATTAGTAGTTGGGGCCTCTGCTTATTTATGAAAGTAGAATTTACGTATGTCCGTCTCTACTTTCTTTATAATGCTGGAGTGTGATATTGTAAGTAAAAGATGGGTAAAAGTATAAGGTGACATCGACTAATTTGGTGCTGCTTTTTTACCAAATATCAAAGAGAAACAGCAATTTATTGGGCAGAGAGAAATTGGTGACGAGGTGAATGGGTCCAACTGAATCCAGCTGTAGAACAAAGAGAAATCGTAATGCCAATAATATGTAATGGAATCGGGTAGCTTCATTCAACCTCTGGGGCAAGTCTTCCCTACTCTATTTATTCTAACCCTCACCTTGTCACAAGGCTTCCCCAATTGCCCTCTTCCTTCCATACTTGTAAATTTATTAACATTTGAACCAGAGATTGGTATCAGATACCACACATGTCTAAGACAACAAATTATCTTATCATATTTCATTTCAAAATTCAGAATAAATATATATATAATGAACGTTGAATCTCTCATCCTCCTTCTGCTAAGCTAAAAAAACAAACTAAGAATAGGGTTTTACATTTCTTCCAGCTTTTTCATTTATTGACAATTAGGTTGCTACACAGAAACCCAACCTACCATTGTACGGGAATCACATAAAACTTTATTATATTCCACCAATATATACGTATATTTGTACATATCCAGCTTGGAGTATGATGATAATCTTTTAGAGTGGTGGCAACTTCTCATCTGTAAGACAAGAAATTATCTTATATTCCACTTGCATGTCGCTTTCTCATCTCTTTATTTTTCAATCACATTCATAGTGAAAAAGCAATTAGGATGACAAGTTGAGAGACAAAAACGGCAATGGTCTTGGTTGCGGTTCTCTTAAATGCTTACTTTTAGTTGTTTGATGTTGAGATTAAAATAAATATAAAGTTTTACTTATTTGATATATACAATAGACACCAAATCAGAATTTTGATGGAGGGTTAAATTAAATTTGTAAAAATAACATGTTTAAAGACGATCTTAAATGATAAAATAGACTATTGGCACATTGTGATTCCACCTGATAGTAAATCACCATAACTGATTCTAACGTTAAATTCTGCAACTTTTAGTTTTCAACTTGTAGTTGACAAGGATAATGACAGTTGCTTAGGTCACCGAAAGAGAGAACATAAGTCAATTAATAAGTAGTGTTTGTATCCATATCTAATTCCTAATAGCTTTAGAATGTGGTTTAAATTATATCCTATACAAAACCCTCTATTTCACAGATAATACAATGGTTATATACACAGGTTTACAATCTATATATATTATATATATATATATAATAAACATTTTGGATAAAGGAATCACATTAGTCTTTTTAATATATTTTTATAAAAATACATTTTTAATAAACATTGATGTGTCAACAAACACTCTAATCATCGTTATGATTCTGGCGAGTTTCAAATATTGTTGGAAAATATAATGTCCTATTTAATTTATCTTTTTTTTAATTTTAAAATCATCTCATTCAAAATGTCATATTAGAAAAGTCAGCAAATAACAACATTTATATTTTATTTTTATCCTTATATGTTTCATTCTTTTATATTTATCAAAACAAATTTATGAAATCTATCAAAATCACTTTTTTTTAGATAATTTTGTAAATTTTCTCTTTTATATAATGTGGTTGTTCTAAAGAGAATAGGTTTATGCTTAAAATATTGATGTTGTACAACTTAAAATATTGATGTTGTACAAATTTACATCTGTTGCTGTAACCCAAAAGAAAGAAGCAGAAGAAGATAAGGGACCTCTCGTGTTAGTTCGTTACTGCAGTAAATTAACACCAACAACCAATTCAGCCTTTGGTTCCCTTCATTAAATATGGTCTTAGCTGATCCCAACCCCTTTGCATTTATAAGCTTCTCCCTCCCATCCTCAAACCAAAAAAGTCCGACCTTTTTGCTTACCAAAAATGGCACTTGGTTCAGCGATCACTGCAGCACTGGTCTTTGTGTTGGCTTTTGCTAGGGTTCAAGTCTCAACTTGCCATGTCCTCGATGCCAACATCTCTTGTCTCGACTGCAAACATAATTATGACTTCTCAGGTTCTCTCTTCAGTTCCAACTCTTTTGACTTGTTTAAAATCTATCCATTTCTCCTTCTTAAATTTACTTGATTTTTAATTTGCAGGCATCAAAGTTGCAGTGAAGTGTGATAAAGTTAAGAAACTAGCCACTGCTACCACCGATGAAAATGGTGCTTTCAAAGTGGAGCTTCCGCCAACATCTGTGGACTGCCTCGCCAAGCTCCTCGGTGGACCGAACAACCTCTACGGTAAGAACAAGAACCTGGTGTCGAAGGTTGTGAAGGTGAGCCATGACGTGAATTCTTACACCATTTCCACTCCACTTGCTTTCTCAACTTCATGCCCTTTGGCTTCCATTGGTGCTAAATCTTGTGGAGTGGGTTCATCCAAGACCGTTGATCTGCCAGTTCCCCCGGAGTGGGGGCTTGCACCGTCCAGCTATTACGTTCCCTTCATCCCCATCATCGGTATACCTTGATACTTCTTTGCTGTAATAAGAGTAATTAATAACGTAAGTACTTGGGAGAAAGACTTGTTATATGTGTTTATATAGTTGATTGCCGTTATATATATATATAGTTTATGAGTGCAGACTGTTGTAAGATTTTAAGTAATTCCAATTAATTATGTGTATTTAAGAGTGGAGAGGTTGATGTAATCTTTGTTCCTTGTTTAATGTTAGCATATTGCAGTTTACACTATAAATTCATGGCTTTTTCACTAATTTTTATGCATTTTGGGGATTTCATTTTAAATTTATTTTTTAGAAAAAAATGTAAAGACTCTAAGCTTAGTGTTAATAAAGATTTAAACAATGCAAATCAATTAAATTTTTATTAAACAGCTCATTAATTGTTGTTTATATTATAATGATACTTTCACTGTCAGTTAGGTGTTTTAATAAACAACTCAAATCTCACACTATAATAATATTATGATAGGGAACCTTCAAAAACTCTGTAAATTAAAATCCTAATTAACATCCTTTAATCCCCAACATAGTTGCTACCACCACGGACTATTTGCCGGTTTCCTTCTTCATTTGCTATCCTTGCTGTTTCCCTTTGTTTTTCTCGTTTCCCGATCTGTTTTCCTTCTCTCTTTTCTCGAAAACATGTTTTCTCAATTAAGTTTTTTGCTTGAATTTTTTTATAATAGTGTTATTGCTATGTGTTCATTGGTCAGTTTTTTTAATGATTTTTTTAGTTTTCTAGGCTAAAATCCATAATAAAATATACTTTAAGTATTAAAATAAAATAAAAAGTTTAACGTATAAAGTGAAATATAAAAATTCATTAATTGACTGAATAGTTAAGGAAATTCATATTATATCATCTTATGACAATTCAAAACAAACATAACACAATATAAAAGAAATGTCGCTCTCTCAATCTAATGAGAGTGACTATCAGAATCTTTTTGAAGAAAAAAAGGATTGATTCATTATTAGATTACTATGTCCCATGCCAATTTGCAACTTGCAAGTCCCATTTCTCTCTGGAGTTGCGGGATGCTGCTGCTAAGAGATTAATTGTGCAACTCTTCCAAAGATTTTACCATCATTGATTTGTCTTTTTTACTTTATATATATATATAAACAAACACATGATTTTATGTTAAGAATACATACTTATAAAATTTTGGAGGAAAAAATTGATTATTAATAAAAAAAATATAATAAAAATACTTACAAGATATAATAATTTAAAATTTTCAGGAGGCTACTACCCAAACGTCCCCTTGATTATATATATAAGTTTGTTTACCTTCAAGACAAATCATTTGTCAATTCAATTCCGATTGATACAAAATGAACGTTTAATAAAATATAAAGTAATATAACAAGAATTTGAGTAAAATTAACATATATGTATGATAGAGGCGATTTTCCCGATATATCACCGGTGAACAGTATATTTCCCGATCTAACACCGGTCAGATTATATTTCCCGATCTAACACCCTTAGCAGTAAAACGCCCCCTGCACCGTGCTATACGATGATTTAGCGCCACGTGGGGTATAGTGCGCCCCCTGCACCGCGCTATACGGTGATCTGGCATACACGTGGGTATAACACAGCCCCTGCAGCGCGCTATACCTGGATATCTGACACGTGGGGTATAGCGCGGTGCAGGGGGCGCGCTATACCCCTAATTACCCCCCCTCACGTCCCCATCCTCCCTATAAATACCCCAATCCTCAATCTCTTTTATCACACCAAATTCTCTCAAATTCTCTAAATTTCTCTCTAATACTCTCTTTTCAAGGTATATTTTATAATATTTTTACTATTATATTTTTACTTTATTTAATATTTTACTAATATAATTCTTTTGCATATATATAATGGAAGGCAGTCTACTTCGCTTGGATGGAAATCATATATCTCTACACTTCGCTGATACGGTAACATTTTAACGTTTTAATTTAATTTAAATTATTAGTAATATTTAGTTATTTATTTAATGCATGATTATTAGATTAAGAATTAAATATCTCGACACTTTGCTGATACGGTAACATTTTAACGTTTTAATTTAATTTAAATTATTAGTAATAATTAGTTGATTCATTTAATGCATGATTATTAGATTAAGAATTAATTTTTGTAATTATTTATTTTTAGGAGAAGGACCGTGTGTTAGATCCTTTTATTAGGAATCTTAAGTTAGTGATACCCAGTCGTGTCTTGTCGTATTTAGTAGAGGCTGGATTCGGTTACATAGGTAGATATCAGGGTCACTATAAGATAGAGCCAGACCTGATTTCTGCCTTAGTAGAGCGGTGGAGGCTGGAGACCCACACATTCCATCTTCCGTGCAGAGAGTGCACGATCACGCTTGAGGATGTTTCTATGCACCTGGGGCTTCCAGTGGATGGAGATGTGATATCGGGGATAGCTTTTGGTTCTTGGACTACTTTGTGTCGGGATAGTCTAGGACGTGTCCCGGAAAATTTTATCGGAGGTAGGATACCATTAAATTGGTTAGATGCCAATTTTCGGGAGTTGAGCGCAGACGCCTCTGAGGATGAGGTTAAGATGTATCCATGGGCATGCATACTGCAGCTGATAGGAGGGTTGATGATGTCGGACAAATCGCGCAACCTAGTTCACTGCATGTGGTTGCGACATCTTGGCGACTTTCGTCTCGCCGGATCATTCAGTTGGGGCTCGACAGTTTTGGCTTTGCTGTACAGGGAGATGTGTGGAACCACTGACTACAGGCGTAATGCTATCGGCGGATGTCTCCTGCTGTTGCAGTCTTGAGCATGGTATCGATTACCCTTTTTATGTCCCGTTGTGAAGAACTCATTCGTATTTCCACTACTTCTGAGGTAATTATAAAACTGATTTTGTATATTAATAATTTTATACAGCGTATAACAAATTTTTGTCCTTGAATAGGTGGTCTACTGATAGGAAAAATCATCAGGAGCTACCTGATGATTTAGAAAAGATTAGGGTGCTAATTGATCAGAAGGTGGCACACATGTATGAATTTTAATGTTTAAAAATCGATTTTAGATTATAGTTATATAATTAGATTATTATTTTGATAAAAATTATATATTATTTGTTTTAGTTTGAGTGAGTGTCATATTCTACTGATGATGTGAGGGCGGTGATCCCACCTGAGTTGAGGGGTCCATTAGATGTTTGGATGGCGATGGTTCCTCTGATCTGTTATGCGACCGTCGAGTGGCACTCCACTGATCGCGTGCTCCGGCAGTTTGGTTGTTTTCAACCAATTCCGGAAGCACCACGCAATATGGACGAGTTGCATAGCTTAGATAGACACAGCAAGACAGATACAGATTGGCTGGTGAGGCATCATGGGTGGGTCATGTTGTGGGAGGATCGACATCGGTGCCTTCCACGTAGAGAGCCCATTTTAACTGACTTCTTGATGTATGCTGAGGATTATTATGAGTGGTTCAACAGTAACGGGAAACCGTTTCTACTTCCCGAGGATGCACGAGGGCAGACATTTCTACGACGTCGATAGAGACGTTCACCGACACAGCACCATCGTCCCCCGACTCGTGGACGGAGAGCAGGTGCTTCTGGTTCATCCTCAGCTGCACAAGCAGGACCTTCCCAGCAGCCACCGCAACCATATATGATGCTGCAGCCATATATGATGTCGCCATTGCCTTTCCATTACCAGATGCCGCTGCCGCCACCTTCACCTGGTTTTATGACCCCGCCACCGTCACAAATGACCCCTCCTGGAGGCTATTATGGGTCTATGTTTGTAGATCTGATATGGGGTTCATATGCTGGATATTTGGCGGGTTTAACCTCATCACCCATGGCCGCAGCACATACACCGCCTCCTGTACAGTTTTTACACTCAGCGATGTCTGAGTTTTATGAGTTTTCCCAGTTTTCGCAGGCCGGTGGGATAGTCAGTCATACACCTCCAGGGTCCTTATTCTACGGAGGTGTTTCATCGTCACCAGCTCCTCATCAACCTAATGTACTTGCACAAGACGACGACGATGACGATGGTGATGATGATGACAGCGAGGAGTCAGAACCAGTGATACGAAGAAATCCTCCTCGAGACCGACAGCCACCGCCCTACGGAACACATTCGCGTCGCAGGCATTGATAGATTTTGTTTTTTATTATATTTGTATTTACTTTATTTTGTTAAATTGTAATTTTTTTATTATTTCTCATTTAATACTTACTTTATTTTGTTAAATATGTTGGACTTTTTTATGTATTTCAGTTCGTTTTGTTTATTACCATTTAATATAGTTATTGTAATTTGGTTATCATTTACCATTTAATACTTATTGTTATTAGTTTGTTAAAATTTAATGATTGTGTTTGTTTTTTTAATCTTCATTGGTGATTATCAAATGACATTAACTTGAAGTAAATGCAAATTAAAGTACAAGAATTATTATTTGATAATAAAATACATCATTTTCTCATCAATTGTTACTTGATGACAACAGAAGTTGACATGTTTTTCTAGTGTGTCATGGGTTTCTACAATGCCCACATCTTGTCTTGTCTAGATCTTTCTCTAATATCCATATCACAATGAATTCGATTGGATTTTGGACGACCACGCTCCCTCAATAAACTCGAATTTGGTACAATCGGAAGCCAATCTTGAACCTCATCAGGGTCTTTGTCATTACCTATGGGGGGAAACTCAAATTCGTATACCTTAAAAACTTCAGATAGTAGGTATACGGGATCCACAAAATGGTTATAGTCTTGACGTGTATGCGAGCAAGCTGCTATCACATGAGAGCATGGATACTTCAGAGCTTGAAAAAACCCGTAGTCGCACGTTCTGTCCCTTAGATTTACTCTTAACGACACAACTTCAATCCCTTGAAGAGGTCGCGGCAACTCTGTGACACGAAACATTTCATGCCTTCTAGAGAAGCTTGTTACAGACATTCCACTTGATGCAGCAATTTTTTTTTCTATAGATCTGCAATTAATCTAGGGTGATAGACATGACC